AAAAAAAAAAAAAAAAACTCTAGAAATTAATAGAGAGCTTCTAGCAATCTGGAAAATATTTACTCAGGGGAAAAAATAGCTGAATGTCAATAAAAGCAGTAATCTTTGTGGCACTGTAACTTCTCTACTTCTCATTTCTCCTCTAGTTCCATGGTACCTTTGAAAATCAATTCTGGCAGTCATCAGAGGGAAGGAATGGGGTTGGAACTCTTTCAAAGCTTCATTCTTAGAGAACTGTCATTATTTGACCTGTATAGTAGTTTCCTGGAAGATCTCACTTGCAACGCTGTCTCTGACTTGACTTGGAACTCAAGTTCACCAAATCTTGGAGCTCAGAGCTCACCAAGTACAAAAAAGTATTTTCCCTTAGAAGTGTTTGTTGAAAACAATTAGAGACACTTGTTTTTGGCTGCCTTAGAAGATGATTCATCATCAGCTGGGGCAACTAATAGTCTAACTAAAAAGTGTAAAGGAAAAGTCAGGGAATGAGCTGTCCATAGGGGCTTTAAAAAGTTCCAATACATTCCTACAAATCTAGAAGGTAATGTGCATGCCCAGGAAACAACCAAGAAAGCCCTAACTGCTCACCCAAGAGCTGACCCTGAAGCTATATAAGCAGGAAGTAAAGTCAAGGCTCAGTTAAGAACTGGCTGGTTGAATGCTGAAAGTGCAAATTATGGAATATACCAAGAAATAAAAAATTGTGGCCTATACATAGGGGAAAAAGCAATTAATAGAAACTGAGGAAATACTGACATTGGACTTTCTAGACAAAGACGTCTACATCAGTTATTTTATTCAAGCTCAGTGGCAACATGCTTGTAATTCCAGAGATTTGGAGGGCTGAGGCAGGAGGAACACAAGTCAGAGGTCAACCCAGGCAAGTTATTGAGTTCTTATCTCTAAATAAAAGGTAGAGTGCCCTGAGTTCAATCCCCAGTATCAAAAAAAAAAAAAAAAAATCCACAGATTTGGAGGGCTGAGGCAGGAGGAACACAAGT